CCATGCCTCATTTGTTTTTTCACCTTCTTCAGACAGGGTTTCAGCCCTTCCTAGCCCTTTTACCAGCAAAGGGAGTCTGTTCCCTTGGCCTGCTCTCTGGCTGGTCTTTGGCCAGCTGGAGGCTGCTCATACAACCTGACAGACACAATCTCCTTCAGGCTCTCGCAGGCTGCATCACCACTTGCTAAGACTTGTTACAGTCTTAAACCATGAGTCAATCAGCAGGACCAGTTCAGGGTATAGAAAATCAACTTCTGAGAATAAAAAATTCCTTTCCATTGATCCTTCTCCTGGTCCCCAGCTTGTAGTGCCCTCCAGGATAGGAGAGGAGTATGCAGAGGGTGGGAAATGTGCATTTTGAAAAAAAAAATTAGAGTGGAATAGGACTCTCTATAAAGGTATGTCCTCTGTTGGACAAGTCTCCTGTGGTTTGCCTTTGCTTTCACAGTCCAGGAGTGCTGCTGACAACCCCGTGTGACTCTAAAGAGCCTTAGGGGTGTGGTGATTGTGTAGGAGCAGAAGGAGAAGCCTTAAAGGGGTTATAAAATAGAAGCCTAATCCATAATCCAGTGATGTCAATAGAAAGGCTGTCACTCAGCTGTAGACAGATTTCCAAGAAATCCATCATCATCCAGTCAAAGCATGCCAACAAACTGGGCTGAGGAGCTGGGAAATGCCTTCCCTCCCTTCTTGTGGGTGGTAGTTCCTTATAGCTACAGTCAGAGAGCAGAATTTGCTCATGCAAGATACCCACTTAGCCTTTTTCCACACATGCCAGATCACACAGTAACAAACAAGGAAATTTATTTCCAAAGTGGGTCCAATCTCCAAATTGTCCCCATAATTGTACTTTTTAGAAGACAGTCATGGGGAAAAGAAATAATGTCAAATTGCAGAGCACATTAAAATTTGGTTTAAATTATTTACCTCCTTAGTAAGATTTGGATTACATTGTCCAGGAAAGTCCAGTGTCCTTCAGATACCAAAAAGGTATCAAGTACCTGCCTGGACTGCAACTCATGGGTAGATTGAAATAGGTTTGGCTACACCCATCTCTGAATTCTGTGCTCACTGATGCAATGTTTAACCAGCTGCTCAGGCACAAATTATGGTCATGGCTATGCTGCTGGCTCTATCTGCATGAAGTAGCAACAGCATCAAAGATGAACCTCAAAATGTATTTCTCTTATGATGAAGATATTTTAATTTTGTTCCAAAGAATCTTAGAAACATCTAACTAAGAAACTGCTGCCAACACCTTCTCAATTTTATTTTTATAGTCCACTGTAGCTTTGTAAAAGAATCCCTGTTTTCTGTTCTCCACCACTTTCTGGTTTGTTCAGCCTGGAGAACAGGAAACTGAGGGAGACCTCACTGCAGTCTACACCTTTCTCACAAGGAGAAGCAGAGGGGCAGGCACTGATCTGGGCTCTGTGGTGCCTGAGGGAATGGCCTGAAGGTGTGTCGGGGGAGGTTTAGGTTGAATATCGGGAAAAGGTTCTTCACTCAGAGGGTGTTAGGGCACTGGAACAGTTCCCCAGGGAACTGGTCACAGCACCAAGCCTGACAGAATTGAAGAACCATTTGTACTACTCTCTTGGGAGCATGGTGTGACACTTCAGGATCCTGTGCAGGTACAGGAGCTAAACTTCAATGATCCTTGTCCGTCCTTTCCAACTCGGGATATTCTGTGGGGTTTTTTTAAGTTAGTTGCCATTATTCTCTCCAAACAAAGAATTGTACCTTACCAGGGCCCAAACAACTCTACTTCCAGTGTGTCTGGAATCTCCTTTCTTGTTCAGTGACATGGAAGGCTAAGGTGTTTACACCTACTTGCCACGTGATCGTAATTTCAGTGGAAATTATTATAACCTCAGCCTGAGATGCTACGAGGGAATTAATGCTGAAAAAGCAGTAGGCAGAGCTTGTCAATCAAGAAATTTAAAAGCAATGCAAATATCATGATATTAACACAGCAAATATAATGATATTAACACAAGCATTCCTCATTCTGACCTGCAGAATAAAGGGAGAGAACTCTGGAGGACATTCAGGGGTCTGCTTACAGAACACAGTGGAAAACCTGTGTTTTGCTTTGTAAGCACACTGATTCCCCTGTTGTGATGGACACGAGCTATTTCTGGACTAAAAAAATTGAAAATCACAGTGGTTAACACGTTTCCAGGTACATGACCCTGTTACAAGTAGCAAGGAGCTTTGAATAACAGAAGCACAGGGGATGAAGTGAATGCTTTAAATGCAACCTTATTGTCAAATCTCCGTGGTTGCAGGTGCTTAAGGACAGCCTCACAGCGGTGTCCAGGAGCGAAGCCAGCTGTGACAGGCTCCGTGGCACCCAGCAGGCCCTTGCATGCCAGGCAATGCTGTCTGTGCCCAGCACGGCTGCGCTCGGTCCAACCTGCTGCCAGCTCCTGCTGCTGCCCAGCGCTGCTCCGGCGCGACAAGCGCTCCCAAAAAAGCGTGACAGCCGCGCTGCTGGTCAGCATGCTGCCCCTTTTGACCTGCTGCCAGCTCCTGCTGCTGCTCCGGCGCGACAAGCGCTCCCAAAAAAGCGTGACAGCCGCGCTGCTGGTCAGCATGCTCCCCTTTTCTGTAGTCGCTTTTCTCCAGCAGGCTTGGCACTGTCAGCACTAGAGAAAGGGACTGGCTCTTTATCTGCTGTCGTTGCCACAGAGAGCTGCAAGTCACTTAAGCCTTTAGTGAAGGTGCATGACTAAAAATCACCGCTAGGTAAACGTGATAGAAGGGCACTCGGAGCAAACCAAAGGTGCTGCAGGACAGAGAAGAAACAAAAGTGGTACTATTTCTATCAAAGGAAAGTTGAGTGGCCTTCTGGAAATACCACAACAGTGAGGATATACATGAATATATCACATTTTCTACAGCTGGTGGTCCTCACAAGATTTTTTTTTCAATTAAAGCCCTTAAAATTGAGAATGCACTAAAAGTATTTATCTCCCCAGCATTTGTGTAGTTTGTAATACATTCTTAGAGTTTCAATCTTCTAGAAAACAAGTGTATCTGACTCATTTTACATCTGCATTTTGATTGCAAGAGGAGTAAAGAAACAAGAGTTCAGAGCAAACTGGGCCCCAAGTTCAGGAATGAATGAGAAAGATGTTTTTCAGTCACTAACCAAAACACCATGAGAAAAGGTAGCTCATCGAACAGGTACAGCTTCATGATCTACAGCAAAGCTGCATAAAAGTAAAACAGATTTGCCTCGTTGAAATAAATGAGAGTTCTGTTGATTAACTTCAGATGAAAATCCAGTCTTAAAGAGTGAAGGAAGGGCCCAATAGCTTGGAGCTCTCCTAATGCCTGGCACTCTCTACAGAAGATAATCTCTGTGTTATCTGCAGGAGCAAAAGGGTGGGTTCCACTCAAATCTACTGATGAAGCAGCGCAGTATTTTGCAGTTTGTCTACTTATCAAAGCAAATGAGTTCACTTTGTTGAAAAACAGGACTATTTTCATGCCAGTTTCTCACACATGCTTGAAACAATGTTTCTACTAGCAACCATAAAAGCACTCTGTCATACAACTTACACTAACCTGTTACCTACACCTACAGAAGACAGGAAGTTAAAGCGCAATGAATTGCTCTGTTTGACTGATTTGTTATTGAAACTCCTATATATTGCTCAGATCTTGCCATGGTGGATCAAACACACCTTCAATTCTATACCTTGCTTTGATCTCTGCAGACTAAAAAGCCAGGTTTCCAGTCAGGACAGAGAGATATAAAGTGTTCTTCACCATTCATTCAGCTGTGTAAATGAGAGTTCAGAAGGTAGCACAGACCCAGAGCTTTTCTGTTATTAAAATAATTCAAACCACCAGAAAAAAAAAAAAGTGTTCTGCAATAAAGCTGCAATAGCATCTGACAGAAGGCTCCAATACAAAAGGTTTTCAGAATTAAAAATCTGAGAGATCCCCAGCTCATCATTCTCTGTTCTACTACTAACCACACAATGTTATTAAAGGGGTAGTAATGTCACAGATTGGAGTTTCTAATACTGTCATCCACTGCAGATACTCATACACAGAGTTATATAAAGAGATTGAAACTCTGACCCAAAGGATATTCCACCTGTTGTCAGGTCCTCTGAAGTTTTTTTTAATTCATCTATTGTGGTGAAGACCAGACAAGTGCTGTGAAAATGGGCAGGCGAGATGTGCATTCTCCATCCAGATTGAGGACTGATTCTTCTGGGAAAACAGGAGTTATTCATTGCAGCACAGGTGAGAAAGCAGTTTAACAGACACCAGTGCATTTCTGTTCAGGACTGAACTTTAGTTATGGTATGTACCAGAAAGAATATTGACCAAAGGTCCTCGAAGTCCCACTCTGACTGCAGAGTTTTCTATGTACTGCAGAATACTAGGACCAGTGTCAAAGTTTGATCATTGTGACAGGAGCTACTTAAAAATATACACTGTTCTAAAATTAGCAACCAAAAGAAGAATGCTAAATTTACAGCTTGAAAACTGAAGCCTGTCTTTATCGAGATACCCACAGCATTGGCAGAGCTCTGGGGAAGCTCATGCTTTCCACCCTGGAATAGCTGCATGTCCCACCTGCGGGCACAGAGACCATGAACAGCACTGTCCTCACATGGGTTTTAGTTAATGTATCAGCACCAGGAGATGTACAGCGTGTTCTATCCTTAGTTACACTGCCATAACTCAGAAGTTGTCTGACCAGCCTTCGTGGTACCTCACTGGGGGTGAAAACCACTGAACTTCCACACTGCAGACACTTAGTAGGGCAGGTGTCTAATCAGAGAGATTTTAAATATGGCATAAACACAAGGCAGCATAAACCATGCTTTACTCCTCGATTGCCTGTCCTTACATAACCAGTTACCCAGCGCTTATCCATGATGCAGGCAGCCGTGCCCGAGCCCAGCCTGGGAGAGCTGCGGAGCGCCCCGGGCCCCTTCCCTGCCCTTCCCTGCCCACCCATCCCGCCTCACCTTTGGCACCAGCGCTCCCGCTGCTCGGGCGGACGGGCGGACTCGGGGCGACAGGAGAGGTACCGGGAGGAGGACGAGGCTTGAAGTCAAGCCCTCTAAACTGGCACGGCAGGCTTAAACCCACACTGGGGCATGGATTAGCCCTGGTGACGAGATAGAACAGCTGGGCTTACGGCAGTGCCTTTGAGCGATTAGGGCTCGCTCCGCTGCCTCCACACAGCCTCCCGGAACGAGCCGGCACCTCTCGGCTCAGCCAGGCTTCGGCACCCGTTTGAAAGTCCCTCCAAAACACGAAAACTTTGTGGCGTTTTCTACCCCGCAGCTGAGCCGGCCCTTTGAAGAAATGCAGGCACTTGAGGGCCCCGGGACTTTCTGCAGCTGCAGGGGGTTCGGTCCCGTCGCTCCCGGCCGTGCCCCCGGCTCGGCGCCCCGGGGCTGTCCCGGCGGAGGCGGCCGCGCCTGGAGCCGCTGGGGCCGGGCGATGCCCGGGGAACGGGGACACGCAGCCCCGGGCTCTCCCCTGCAAAGACAGCGGTCCCCTCCGCGCCGCCGGCGGTGTCCCCAGCTCCTCCCGCTCCTCTTCCTCACCGCCGTGCCCAGCCGGGCAGCGCCTCTCGCCGCCGCCGCTCCGCCGAAGTTGAGCGGAGCCGCCCGCGCCCCGCCCGCCGCCGTTCCCATGGCGACCACGGGAAGCCCGCTCGGCCCGGGGCCGTGAGCCCCGCCCGGCACCGGCACCGGCACCGGCACCGGCACGGCGTCAGAGCCCGCCGGGACTCTCTGCTCCAGACGGAATTCGCAGCCACAAATAACGGCGCGGAAACTGGATCTGTCCGTTCATTTCTCGCCGAGTCCTTTGGGAACGGAACAGAACAGTCTTCAGCCACAGAAGCCACAAGGGTTTGGAGGGATGAAGAAGGATGAGCACGGGAGTTGGGAGGGCATGGAGCAGAAGAAGAGGAGGAAGGTTTTTACAGATAGGGTGGTGAAACTCTGGCCCAGGTTGCCCAGAGAGGAGGTGGATGTCCCATCCCTGGAAACGTTCAAGGGCAGGTTGGACAGTGCTCTGAGCAGCCTGACCTACCTGAAGATGTCCCTGCTCATTGCAGGGGGCTGAACTAGATGGTCCCAGTCACACACAGCCACAGTGTCCTCTGTGAGCCCACAGTTCCTCACCCAGCCTCTTTCCACAGTGCACAAATGTGCAAAACATTGGCTAAACCCCCACCAAATTCCAGGAGAGCCAGGCTGTGTCAGAGGGTTGCAGAGCTACAGCCTTTGGGTAAGGACAGCACAGGGACAGGTGACACCACTCAACGACACCTGAGCATGTGTGTGAAGTCAATCATGCCCCCACTGAAAAGCTTTCATAAATGATGGCCCAAGTTCTTGTATTTATGCAGCACTTGCACAGGCAGAGGACAGAGGTGTTTCAGACCATGTATGTGTGTGCAGCACACACATAAACCAAAACAGCCCAGCTAAAAATATTACAGATTACAGGATCCCAGTGCAGGCTAAATTAAAATGTAAGAGGGTGGGGGGGTTTAAGGTTTAGTTTATTATTAGATCAAAACCCACAACTGGACTAACAAAGAGATTAGAGGCATTTTTCTTTGCTAATTATCTGTAGAGGATTACTTGTCTGTCCTGAGCTCCAATGCCAGCCCAGTTTGTAGAGGTTCATAGCATTCTGGGTATGCTCTGCCCTAAATGGGATTGTTGAGTTTAAGTAAAAAGTCATTTTACGCTAATAAAGACCATAATGTTTTCATACATTAAAACCTGTTTCAAAAGTCATCAATTCTGACTAATGCAGAATAAAACCCCCTTGAAAATGCTTAGTTTTCAGGTATATTTTCCAGGTTATATTTTCAATGCAGTGAATTCCTGGAAGTTCTTATCATGAATCAGAGACACTGATGACTGGGGAATATCTCTGGGAACATTTCCTTGCAAATATGTAAGCCTCACAACTGAAAAAGCATTCATCCCTCCCATACCTTATTTAGCAGTTGAAACCAAGGATTCTTTTACTGTTGTACTGACAGGACTTACAGGATCAGTCAGCACTCAGATCATCAGTTGCTTGGTAGCAACGCTCTGGTAACATAGATGGAGGGAAGATTTATTCAGTGGTACATTTCCCAGGATACTCCATGACAGTCAGGTTTCAGCATATTGCAATTTGTAGTGCATTTCAACAGTGTGTAGTGTAGTGCACTTGGGCCTGCTCTTTCTCACCATTTGTCGGATGCTGCCCTGACTCACCTGAGCACACTGCTAACACTGCAGGTCTTGCCTGCAGAGCCTTCATATTTTGGTGTCAAAGCCAAGGACCTCTGACAATGGCACTGAGGATGGACTTTTCCAACCAGTAACAATCGTATTGCTGCTATCTTCTGCATGGGTCCAACCACAAGCAAATAATCTCACTCAATCACTGACAAAAAGCAAATTTAATAAGGTAGGGTTGTATTTGGCCTGCTGGCTTCTGTCTGAGTTGCTGAAGCATGTTAGTTAATATAATGGGGCTCACAGAGGGAGCCCTGCTTTTTCACAGACTTACAATCTTGCTTAGAAAAGTGCCACTTTCAGAGTAATCAGAGTAATATACCTTGTTTGGGGTTTTGTTTGGTTGTTTGGGGTTTTTTAGAGCTTGTTTTCCCTCAGCAAAACAGTTTTTCATTTACTGGAAAGATCTTCATGCTATTTACTTCAAATCCAGTTAGCCCACCCACACAGAAGTGTACCATGAGCAAAACAAGAGAAAGTTCATTCAGTCTCCAGCAGCAGTCCCCAGGCATTGCGAGGCTGAGGCCCATTTAAGAATAACTGGTAATGTTGCCATGTCTTTTCCAGCACATATTTCTCCCTCTCCCCGTCCCCTTCCTCCCCCCACATGTTATGGCTGGGTCATATTTCTTTCTCTCCCCTCTCCCCGTCCCCTTCCTCCCCTCACATGTTATGGCTGGGTTGCTGGGTTGTTGTCTGTGCCCAAAAGGGCTGAAAGGCTTGGGTTTGGTATCTCTGCTGCTGGAGGTGTGCTGAAACAATCAGCTCAGCAAGGAGTGTCCTGGGTCAGTAAAGGACACATGCCCAGATATGATGTTCCAGAGCACAGCTGGATGATGGGCATGGTGTACAGGTCTTTCTCAGGAAAAGTCAGAACTATTCAGAGCACTTTGTCCAGGACTCTGGGATAAACTTACCACAGAATTATTGCAGGGAGAGCTGTGACTGAAGCGAACAGTCTTTCTGCTGTCACCTTCTACAAGCTCCTGAGTGACAGGCCCCTTGCTGTATTGAGTAGGCTCTGATGCTGGTTTTGGTTTTTTTTTTTTTGCTCTCCTTCCCTTTTTTAGGAGATGATAGCTATGGTTTATTAAAACCTAGAATCCTGAAGCCATAGAAAAGAGAATCACATGGTGTTACAATGCCAGGGCTGGGAAAAGACTGCTTAAAATTAACATTAACTAGAGCAAAGGAAGAAATGTAAGGACAGAAAATCAGGCATAAGCAGTGACTTCAGAGAGAAGATTTTTATAATTGCCAAATATTTCTTGTGGATGAGCCCTTGGGGTAAACATTTCAAAGGACTCTAGGAAAGCAATAGAAAATGTTTGCATCCCTGTAGGAAGATGAAATGAGTTGCCTATGAGGAGCACTATACCTCTAACCTCAGTGGCACTAGGAAATAAAAACCTACAAATGTTTCTTCTCTGCTGCTTGCACTGCCCACTCAGTGCAGTCAGCTTTCACTGCTGATTCCTTCTGACAGCCTGCAGGGTCTGCCCTGCTCCTTGTGTGAGCAGCCCTCACCCCACGCAGTGAGTGCGGTTAGCTGGCACCTCCAAACCAGTTACACACTCACGGAGACTGCCCAGAGCACAACAACCAAACACCCTTCCTGCCATGGCATGTCCCCTTCTCTCTGTGCAGAGTGAGCACTGGAGCAGATGTAGAACCCCTGAGAGTTTTAACTCCATGCAGAACCAGAAAACCTAAGCTGCAGTTTTTAAACTGCTGCTGCTTCTTTCTTGCCTTTCTGTTCACCACTCAAGAGTCATTTAATAGTAGTGTAGTGGTCTGTTTAATTGCTGATTATCTTAACCAAGCAACTTAACTGAGTAAATGGAAATTCTGTTCTTTTAGCTCTGAGTGAAAATGATGAAGTGTCATGAAATACTCAGCCAAAAAACAGATGTAGTAAGGCAAGCTGAGCAGCAAAAAATACAACACAGATGGTCACGATAAATTAATTGAAGACACAAGGGGGAGAGATGCAAAAAAAATGCCATGGAGCCTGTAAGTAGACAGATGTCAAAAATATGTATGATTATGCACTTAATTGCACTCTCTGTGATTGCTTATTCCTGATGTACTCTCTTAAGAAACAATAATCTCCAAAGGGCATTGCCAAGGTTCTTGGCTTTTAAAATGACCACATCTTAAATGCTGACACAGTGCATGATGCCACCTTTGCAGAGGTAATAATTTTTTAAACACTAATTTTCATTATGTGATGAAAATGTCTCTGGTATTAGACATGTAACTACTTTCACAACATATTTGAATGGGTTTTGTCTCTGTCTTACCAAAATATGTGTTCTTTTATCTTGCACTGATGCAAATCCAGCTGAGAGCAATTGACAGATTTTCATTAGACTCAAGAAGCTTCAAATTATTTGTCCTCTTTCATTCAAAAGTTAATTTTTCACTGTTCAAAATTCAGTACAACAGGAGTTTTTGCCATTAAATTCAACAGGACCAAGACTTTGTCCATGCTCTGTTTGAGTTTGTTCCAGAGTCTACTGAAATCAATGCAGGGAGAGGAGGGATTTAAGCTGATTTGGAAAGGAATTTTTAAAAGGGAGGGAGTGTAATGATAATGCCATCATTTCTCTGAATATAGATATGGAGGGAATCTAATTAATTGCTCCATTTAGTGTGTAAACTCATCATATCACTGAAACTTCATGGGATGTGTTGTGCAAGAAACACAACTTTTACACATACATCCCCTTCAGGAGAGAGTGGTAGGAAGAAAAAATGACAAGTAAGTAACTGCTTTGGGCATTTGAAAGTGAAGGACAAAACAGCAGTAAGATTCTCTGGAGGCAAGAACTGGAAACTCAACGA